TTTGACTCATTTACAACAAATGACTCAGAAGAGTTGAGCTAAACACGCCTCTGTTCTATCCCACCATCCCTGAAAGTGAAGCCATAAAGAAACAAAGGTTATGGGGTCTCATTAAGGATGAGGAACTCAGAAAACGTACTGGTCCAGAAATCAGGGATCATCGATGGTTTCAATGCTCTCTCTAGTTTTCACTGTGAGGCATTTATCTTCTGGAACAATTATAAAACATGTCCTAAGGAGGTGGATCTGGAGGGATCGTTAGTGAGCAAAAAAAGTGGCAGATATACAAGAAAGGGAGGAACTAGGGCAATTAAGAAAAAAAACGAACAAACCCAATTTTTAGATCTAGCTGATTGCACTGGGTCTCATTGACCTTGGCAGTACTTGAAGGGTCATATTTTATGTAGATGAACTGTCTCCAGTTTCTCCTGCATCTCTGGAACATGCAAATGTTTTTCTTCTACCCCATACCACGACATTCTATGTAGTCCTCATTTTTTAATATTAATAGATGATTTTGGTGTGTTTATTTGAATCCATCTTGACATGGTATTTTTTTTCATCCTTAAAGAAAAACATATTGCTTTGTTTTTGCCTGAACTTTTGAACCTCTGGCCTCTGGTATGTTACTAGAGATTTCCTGACCCATTCCTTAACCCCACTATATTTTAGAAGTAGAATAACATAATTAATTGAGTTTATGAGGCACATGAAGTCATCCTCATCATTAAACCTGATGGTACACCCTCAATGTCATTTTATGGGTGTATTTTTTATGTAGGGAGGTCATCCTGGTAAGCTCAGTCCACATTAGTACCAGGCAAGCATTCCAACTGGTATACCATTTTATCGACCTCATTCTCTCTTTCTTACTGAGAGTTTTATTAAATTAGAGAACGATACTCAGATGGAGACACATTAGGCCCAGAACATTTCTCAAATAATCATGTGAGTGAGTAGTCAGATCTTTAGAATGCTTAAATGTCCTCAGGTGCACCCATCACCAGCTATTCTGCCCCTTGAACTGTGAGAGATCAGACTTCACCTTCATACTACATATGACAATAGCAGTTTCCATCACAAGAAATTATTCAAGATGCGATTTAGTTTCTTTAGATGAAATTGGGCAACTGTTTTTAACATCTTGGGATATTTTGACAGACAAAAATCAGCAAAGATTCATTGAGCTACAAGTAAGAGAAAATTTTAACAATAAAGAAATTTGTTATTTTAGAAAATAAAGTCCAGAAATCATACCAGTGTTAGGTTTGTGGATTCAATAGTTTGTGAGTTAAATTCACTACCGCCATCTGTATTGTCTGTTGGTCTCATTCTTTGCTGAGAACAAAGATGGTGCAGCTCTTCCAGGTATCACACCCAGATCAAGACTGTCCAAAGGCAAGAGATGGATCATATATTCCAGGGTCTTCTTCATAGGAATATGAAAACTGTTCTTAAAAGTTTCCTCACCTCCAGAGGGTTTCCTTTGATATCAGACATTAATTGCTTACTTAGATAAACTCCAAACAAGGTGACTATTACCATTATCATTGACTTCAACCCATCACCACTTATACCTAGACACAGGAAAGGGTAAACTTACCCATAGTGATGGACATTAGAACGAAATGCATGTTTTGCCTTCTGAAAAGAAATGGAAAGTAAGACACCCACAAACAATTTTGAGGAATATTTTAAAGATAACTTGAAAGTTTTCTTTGGTCCCCAAGTTCAAACCACAGAAATAATTTCTTTTTTCAAAAATAAAAATCTTGGGGTTGGGAGTATATCTCAGTAGTAGATTGTGTGCATAGCCCACATGAAGCCCTGGTTTCAATCCTTAACACCAAAAATTGAAAAATAAAATCTCTGATATGCTTTCATTTATTAATGCCACTTACCATTACATAGTGATTGTGTTTCATAGGTACCTGTTGGGATTTCAACATTTTCAGATATATTCCCATAAAGCAAATTAATGTCGATCTATAATGAGTTATCTCTGAGTTGAAGAGAAGCTAAATACTTCTCATTCACACACAAAAAAACCAGATTTATTTCTTGTAAAATGACTATGGCAAGGACATTAGTTAATTTTCCATGTAGACAAATTTAGGGTTGGAGAAGCTGAACAAGTGCTCATAACTAGAAATCTAGGCCCAATGTCTAGATATTTTGAAGGTCTTAATTGAACTAAATTAATGGAACCTGGAGTTCAACTTTTTTTTTTAAGAGAGAGAGAGAGAGAGAGAGAGAGAGAGAGAGAGAGAGAGAGAGAATTTTTTAATATTTATTTTTTAGTTTTTGGTGGACACAACATCTTTA